AAACTATGTACTGATGGGGAATATTTATGCTGCTCTTGGAAGGTGGAAAGATGCAGAGAATGTGAGACATAGGATGAATGAAGTAGGGTTACTCAAATCGCCAGCTCACAGTGTAATTGAGGTAAGGAAACCTGTGTAGTGTCATTTGCTGTTAGATGCTTGGCTTAAAAAAGTTGCAAGGCTGCCACATCTTCAATGTTTGATGTGCCAACTGTTGATTTCAAATTCTTGGCACATTGAATGAATATAACATTAGATGATGAAGCATTTGTTGTTCTATGAGAGATTACATCGTTTTTCTTCGAGGCGTACGCAAAGGTATTACTATATACTAGCTAGTCATGCTGTTGTGCTTTGCTGATGAATGAAATTAATCCACCTTAAGCAGTCTAATAAGGACCATTTCCCTGGTGAGCTTGTGCGAAATTATTTCCAAGATGTTTGGCATTTTACAAGGCAAGCCAGATACCCTGACAAACTGGTTCCTTATTTGATTTAAATGAGAGAGATTTTGGGACAGTTATAGTCGTTAAGTTGGTCTTTTCAGGGCTGGCTTATTTAGAAAGATTGAAAGAGATGTACGTTGTCTACTTGACACCAAAGTTTACCGCAAAAATGGGTGCTAGACAAGCCATTGACTAATTTTTTCTCAGTCCGGAAAAATTGTGGCTGTGTTTGGTTCGATTGTTTTTGGCAAAAACTGTGGCTGTAGTCAAAATACAATTTCAGTCAACCAACTTTTTTTTAAATGCTACAGTCCCGGTCCTGGTACACGGCGCCGTTTAGGAGCCAAAATGACAAAACAAGTTTTGAGGTGTATTGTCCTTTCGTTCCTCCTCGTTATTTTCTGAGTTAAACTGTATCGAGCAACTACGAGGCTCCTCTTCACTTTCCTCTTCTAAGCAGCATCAACAGTAGAGCAGACACTTGAATGTTCAAATCACCGGTTCTACCCCAGCTGATCTGCTTGTAATGCTGCTGTCATCGTCGCCGCAAGTGAACAGTTAGCTGGTCCCTCCACAATTTGCAACTTATCTGCAGCATAACATCGGGAGAAGGAAGCTGAACCTCCGCTGCACCTCGGACAGGGGAGGTAGTGGAATTGCCCAGAAAATCATTCGAAGCTGCTTGCTGGAGAGCTTTCTTCCCTTATTTCCAAGTCGCGGCCAAGGAGTCTCACCGCCGTTGCTCATCTGTTGCTTCGTCGAGGTGAGTTTGTACTGTTGAGCTAATTGGGGCCTTAATTCGTACGAATTAGGGCTACAGTAATTAATGAATGTGGTTGCTGTTTAATCCTATTCTCTGAAAAATCAGCGGGCGATAGTATATGGTAGAGACAGAGGATCAATTAAGAAAATGTGGATTTGCCTTGTTTGGACTGACATTCATGCTTCTTCACTTAACTTCTTTATATTGTGCGGCATTCCATTTTTCATTATTGGCTTGTTTTGGTTCGCCATCTCATCTTAGCAACTCACAATTGGAGCTTCACCGTTATCTTGCCTTCGTGATAATTCCCGCATGTGTCCAGAGTATGCTAAATTAATTGTTAGCAAGAGGGAAATGGTACACAGTGGCACCATATTAGCTGATAAACGTGCTTGGCTGCTTTAAATTGTTCGGCATGCATAGGAGAGTTTTTTTTAATAAGCTCATGGTATACGTGTACCCTGTTAATGGGAAGAATATTGATACTATGAAGTGGATTAGATGTTTGATCGATTGCTGTTGTTGTCGGCTGAAATTGATCAGTTTTTCTGCCACATGAATCTGTAGGTGGGGTGTTGTATCTACATTTACATTTCGGATAAGGAATTTGATTAATTGGTTGTACTTATTAAGCACCAGTGCTATTTTCCTTGGACTATTGCAATTCGATTACTGAAATATTCGTCCCTAGCGTCATGTGACTGGCATGCATTTATTTGGTCGTTGCTGTTGGGTTTGATCTTATTGGATGTTCTTGTGATCGGACTTGAGGCAATGCCATTCTGGTACCTGCAATTTTATTAGTTGGCACGTGGTATATTTTAATTTGTCCTACCGTGATTGTTTATAATTTATGCATTGAAGCTGCTGTTGCGTTTTTCAATGAATGACAACCTGTAGAGAGGGGTATATTTTTCTGCTTTAAGTGTGATGCTGTTTTGGTCCTATGTATATGATTCGTTGCATATTATAATCTGATATGAACTTCGCTAAATGGGTTGAACTGTTATTTTAGCTTCACACATAAAATTGGATGATAGTTCATATACAGTTTATGCGTTTGGCCTGCTAATAGCATTTTAGTGGTACCTTGTACATATTTTTAGGATTGTGATGCCCCCTGTGACTCGGAGTGCTTCGAAGGGTAAGGCCCAACTATTGTGACAATTAATTATTAAAAATTCTGATCAGAAACAGCTGTAGTGCTCGGCTTTTAACATCCTTATTTACAGCTTTGCAAACGACTAGGGGTGCTAACCGTTGTTCTTTATATTCGGGTACGGGAGAAAACGATTTGCGTCTTTGTATAACAAACTACTTCAAGGTGAGTTATAACTGACTAGGTGAAAAATTTCTGTAGATGCTGTCCCAATATTGGCTTAGATTGTATCTAATTTCCCGTTTACGGCGACCCTAAGCCTGTTTTCTGGTTTTGACTTTCCTAAAGAAAACAAAGATGCCCAAACCAAAAGCTCCTAAGGAACGTATCAATTTCACGCCGAAGATGGAAACTGCCATTGCTGAACAGCTTCTGAACATGCATAGGAATGGGGAAATATCATCACAGACCATCGGGAGCCACGTTGTCCCTCAGATTACTAGGATGCTCGCTGAGACTTTCGGGGTTTCATTCCCCCGCGATACTATTCGGTCGAAGTACTATGCGCTTCAGAACTTAACTAGGCTTTACATTTCGTTCAAGAAGCGTGGCACTGGTATGGGCTGGGACTCAACCAACTTCACCTTCATGATGGATGATGAGCGATGGAGTCATCTACTTCAGGTATAATACTTAGTCCTATCCTTTAGCTTATACGCTGTTATCGTTATATATTTTGTTTTATAAGCTTGGTTTATAGAATTTTGGTAGGTTTTTTTACCATTATTAGTTGTATGTATTGTTCAGCTGTGGAATTTGTATTGTTTATTTGTAAAAGTTGTTTGTTCCTAACAGCTGTTGTGTTAAATTGTTAATTGGGCTTTTGCTTATTTTTAAAACCTGTTTTCTTCTTTTGTAGGTCAACCAGGGATACAATAGATTTAGGAACCGGTGTTGTCTGGTCTTCCATTTGCTTGAAGAAGTCTTCATGAATCAGGGGGCTACTGGGGATTTTAGCGCCGGCTTTGGAGTATCGCCCCTGAATTCGGGCGATGAATTGGAAATGGAACACGCTGCGAACAGAGGTAGGGGCAAGGGGGTTGTGGATGTCGATTCATCAGATGGAGGAGATGCCGTTCCTGTGACTCGGAAAGGGAAAGAGAAGGTTAAGAAGGGCAAAGGAAAGCGCAAATCGGGGGACATGTCAACTGAGTCATTCTTCCAACCGTCCTCCCCCCAATTCCAGAAATACGTTCGGGTTTTAGACAGCATCGAGACACGATTGAGCGGTAAAGGGAGCTCTGGGATCTCCGGTTCGGTCTCTTCTCCTGCTAAGAGCCAAAAGGCTCCAGTTGATGAAGACGAGGAGCTGGTGGCTGCTTTGGCCACTTTGAGCAGTCTGAATTTGGACCGAAGTGTGCGCTTCCAGATGGCTGATCTGCTAAGGAATCGGCATGAGCGTCTCATTTGGTTCTTATGCGCGGACGACGAGGACCGCCTTGCCTTTGTCAGACATCGAGGCTTCCTCCCCCCCCCTTAGCATCTCGTTCAATCCAGCCCGAAACTATTGCAGCAGCCTTCGTCTTAGTTTTTCCCATGGCTTAAATGGATTTGATCTATTCGTTTGGATTTATGTACTTGGAGTTGACATTGGCCTGTGTTATTCATTTCTTTACTGTACCGTGGACCCAATTCAGTTTTTTTTTTTTTTCTTCTGAGATAAAGTTGAGGTTACAAAAATTTCGGATAATTTATTTGGTTGCGTTTATAAATGTTGGTTGAATTGTTTACTATATATTATTTGTTGGGAATGGTGCAAGGATTTTCATTTTGTGTGACAGGAGTTGCCGCTACATTTTTTCCATTATGCCGATGGTCATCTTTGTTTGTATATTTTTTAACATTTGGAGCTGGTTCAGGTTATTTCTGAATACCATCTGCATGTTCAGGGACCATCGTGTGTTAAATAATTTGAGTGTGCTTCTCAATATTGGTTGCAGTAGTGCTTCTCAGTATTGGTTGTTAGGAAATAGTGCAATGCCGTATATATTGGGGAGCCATGTTCCTAAATTAATTTTATTGGCATCATTTAATATGTATTCTTTGGATTTTTGTGTTCTCACATTCACACCGGGGCCTGTTATCATTTTATCCTTGTGCCATTCAGGGAATGTTTACATAATTTACTTGTGCTGGGGATAGCAATATTGGCTGATGTTCACTAAATATCAATTGTGGCCCCGTAAAAGTGCAATGGCTAATATTTTGTGTACTCATAGTTGCCATATAAATTTTTTGGTTTTCGAGTTTTCTAGTATTAATTACTCACAGTTATTTTCTCAGATAGCTAGGTTAATGTCTGCTAATTTAAACTCCTTATAATATTTGAACTTGTTTGCTACACACTATACAATATTTACTTATTCAACTCGTGAGTCTTTATATGAAATGGTTGAACTTGTTTAATTATTTCACCTGTGTACAAGGATAGTTGACATTTTTTTTTCCATTATATTATTGGCATTCCCCAAATGTGCCTGTGAGTGTTTATAATTATTAAGTGAACTTATATACTTGGATAAACTTGTTACGAGATTTACTTATTGCACTTTTGACACTTTGTAATAAATGGTTGAACTTGTTTAATTATTTCACTTGTTTAATCTATGATTAAGAATATTTCAGGTTATTTTAGGCATAGGGTCCTCAATATTTTTTTCTTCATATTGAGGATATTGCTATTAATTTATTTGCGAGTGTTTATAATAATGGGTTGAACTTATTTAGTAGAATTTGTTGGGGATTTCACCAATTGACTGAATTGGTTTACATGGATATCAACCTTTAAATGAGGTTGTGAGTTAACATACGAGGAATTATGTGCTTATTTCCTCTTTTAGTATTCATAGTTACACCGTTTTTGCATTATACAATTGGATATCAACCTAATGTTTTCGTGTTATTACACATATATAATGCTTGGATGTTTGTTTATTTATAATTATTTCATGGAATTTGTATCAATTGAGGTTATTAAATAATTGATAATATTTCACTTGTACTACTAGAATAGGGTTTAATGTTCTTCAATCACTTGGCCAATTTCAGAGTTCAAAGTTGTTGCTGTGCGAAGATGGACAACGATGGGCACATTCAAGGAGGTCAACTGGATGACGAGCTAGATGACGAGGAGCTCGACAACATCCTTATGTACGTCGTATTATTGGGTTTCATGTTCTTTTTCCAGGATACACATCAGCAGGTCCCAAGAAGACGAAGAGTACGAGATAGCGCGCTGTCAGGGAGAGATTATGTGCTTGAGATTATTAACGGACATGAAGACCGAATTATTCAGAATATGCGCTTGGATGTTCCTCAATTCCTTTTGTTGTGCGATTTATTGCTTAATCGGGGTTACTGGCATGTATATCCTTCTCAAAGAGTGGGGGTACATGAATCCGTTGCTTTAACCCTAATGTGCCTGAGCCATGATGAGCGGCACCGGGTGTTAGCCGAGCGGTTCCAGCACTCAACGGAGACGATTGATCGACACGTTCGTCGTGTATTACGAGCTTTGGTTCGGCTAGGTCGTGATCTCGTTAGGCCAAGAAACGTCGATGACACGCATCCTCGGATCTTGAACAATGGTTTGCTCATGCCGTGGTTCCGAGTATGTATCTCATTTTTAGTTGGACATGCACTTTCATGTAGGTTTCTGCGAGCATGTGAAACTTATAGCCAAACTTATTTCACTTATATAGGATTGTGTGGGAGCTTTAGATGGGACCCATGTATCCGCTTGGTGCAGAGCAGAGGTAAGAGAGAGGTTCAGAAATCGGCATGGCGACTTATCCCAGAATATACTTGCTGCCTGCGATCATGATATGCGGTTTGTCTTTGTTCGGGTCGGCTGGGAGGGTAGTGCTCATGATGCCAGAATTCTCCAAGAGACCTTGCTTGATCCGGGCTCAGGATTTCCAATGCCACCGCAAGGTAATTTAATTGAAATGCCTTTTTAGAATATATCTGGTAACGAATTACTTTTATAATACAAGGCAGTAGGAAACAGTCTCTTTTGTATTTGACAGATTATTTACAGCATTTGTTTCCGTAATAAATGAGTAGGGGCTATAACATGAAACCTATGTCATTAAATCAACAGGAAAATATTATGCAGTAGATGCTGCCTACAGAAATATGCCGGGGTTTATGGCTCCGTTTAGGGGTGCACGGGGCACACCTCATGAGCGAGCAGCTAAAGCGCTGTTCAATAGGCGACATGCATCAGTTAGGAATATTATTGAGCGTACATTTGGAGTTCTTAAGAAGCGATTTCCAATACTCAAAGGTCCAATGCAGAACTACCTGATAGCAACGCAAAATAATATTGTGCTTGCATGTTGTGCTCTTCACAATTTTATGCGCGATTATGTGCCGAATGATGAGTACTTCAATGAAGAAGCGATAAATGGTGCCTTTGCAGATGCACACATAGCAGGGGAACAAGTGCAGATGGGTCAACCTATCGATATGTCGCAGCAGGGCATAGATAACTGGAATGAAGGTCGGCGGGCAATGGCGGCGCACATGTATGTGAATGCTAATAACTAGACTCTAGTGCTTGGCCTAGGACCAAAAGTGTGTTAAATCAGCTTCCGATTTGTACTTAAATGTTTAACTCACGTTCCTGGTGAATGAGGGATTACTTTTAATTTGGCTCCAGTTAATTGTGTTATTGCTTGTCCAGGGATTTGCACCTTTGTATTATATTTGCGGACTCATACTTTGCTCTACAACCTCAGTAAGTATTCAGTTTGCCGGTTTAGTTCAGGGGAGTTTGTGAATGGTGACGTACGAATAAGTCATGACCGAGTTAAGTTCTAGGCACATTTTTTACAGTGCAAAATTTGGTTGAAACTTTGCCAACTACTTTAGGAAATTGCAGGAGGGGACATAATTTAATGGCCATTATTTTGCAAAGATAGCGAACGTATTGGCCAATTACACATTTGGACCCTTAGATCCCCTGTTTTGGGGGTGTTACACATAAACTAGTTTTTGAAATACAATAAAAATTTTTAAAAAGTTGAACTTGTAAAAGGTAATCAAAAAATTAATTTTATTTTTTTTAAAAAATTTTCAAGCATGTATCTCAAAATATTTTCTAAAAACTTTTCTATTCTTAAATATTTCAAAATATTTTCCAACACCCAATCCAAAATATGCTCTAAAAACTCTGCTACAGTAAAGTTTTATTTTAAAAAATTCCCACAGAAACAGCTAATCCAAACGAAGCTGTTTTTCAAAAACAGCTCAATCCAAACGCATGTGTTTTTCAAAAAATAAGAGTTTTTCAAAAACAACAATCCAAACGACAATGCGTGTTTTTTAAAAACTGCTACAGTATTGTTTTTCAAAAACACCCCCAAAAACAGGGAATCCAAACGCAGCCTGTGTGTCATTGGGAAAGACGCGAGGACTTAATAGTTTGTGTATTTTTATCAGAACACCTGCATGTGGGAGAAAGGATTGGTTAATTGTAGTTCTCCAATTGATGTGTAGAACATGCAAGGAAATTACTAAGGGGAAAAGTGGAGTTGCTTGAAGCCAGCAGCAAGAGAGAACAACCGTGTATGCAGAGTCTTTGACACATCGTTGGAAAACGTGGAATCCAAAATCTTTATCTCAAAAGTACATAAACCTAGAAGTGCCCTCTAGCAGAATTTGTTTGGATTGCGGTTTATTTGTCAAAATATATTTGCTTACATCATCATTACAATTTCCAACGCACCTTTTTATCTCACATACATCACATCATAAAAAGTGCTACAGTAAAAATATCTCTAATAATTCACAATCCAAACAAAATGTTTCTCAAGCAGAGAGAATCAAATTTGGATGGTTAACAGCAGCGATGAAAAGGATGATTACTGAATCTGAAGTTTGGATGATTACTGAATCTGAAGTTTTTAACAAATTCTCTCGTATGATAACATGTGCCAATTGTTTCTGTAACATTCTCCGGAGATCCACAAACAGATCATCAATTCATCAGACTTTGAACTAGCCTCCTTCAACAAGTATTTCCAATGCTTCTGCTACTGGCCTATTCAAAACATGCCATGTGCCATGGATTAAGTTGATTGAATAGATAAAATGTAAACTACGCTATTGGACGGTTCCCCATATTGCTGTGCATATACGTGCGTGTGAGGAGTGAACGAGCCACAAACAACCAGTTACGAAAGAAAGGAATTACTAATATATGCAAGTAGTGGAGAAAGGTCGCTCCAAATAAAACGTACGAACCCCCATGGCCCTTTATCGCAGCTTAGGTCAACTGAAGCCCGGAATGCACTTGCAACATGGTCTTTTATCCTTCGATGCCCTTGTGGATTTTATATCATTAACATTAATGATGACTTATTATCAATTTATAGAAGGGTTATTATCACTTTACCCTCTTAACGTTTGGCGTCATTATTAATTACTCTCTTAACTTTATTTTTTAGTGATTTTATCCCAAAGCTAATGGTCAAACTTAACGTAGTTTATTAATTCAAGTAATAAGACATGTTTAATCTTTAAAATTATTATCATTTTATTCTCATAAACTATAACCTTATTATCAATTTATCCCATAGAGTTATTTTTTAGACAATTCATCCCACCATTAAACTAACTTAACAAGTTAAAAAACTTTAGAATATGCTACACTCTTTTTTGTATAATAAAAATAATAAAAAAATTTAGAGTGGCTCTTCTCTTATTTAGTATCAAGAAAAAAAGTAAAAA